GGGTCAAAGTGACCCAGGAACATTACTGCCGTACCTCAGAGACGAACAGAACAGGATCGTTAAATCCATCCTACTGCAGGTTTTCCAGCTTTGGGATTCGTTTTTCAATAAAGACTCAGTCTTGTCAGGGGTGAAACTGACCCATTTTAAAGTTAAAAATCTAAAAAAAAGTTTCTGTTTGAAACTTTTTCTGTTGATAAGCATAAAGAGCAAACACAAAATTAAAATAGTTTATTTTACATAGTTGGAGCCCCCGCCCAGGGACACCCGCATGATATTATCAGAAGCGCAAAACTATCACTGCACCAGAAACACAAGAGCACAACATCTCATCAAGTGCCTAAAGCTAAACCACACAAATACAGGCCACACATGCCTAATGCACTAAAACAGCTGACCTCTCTTTTAATCAACTTATGTTAAATAATAAAGGTGGGTACATCCTAAGACAGACTAAGGTGGACAGCTTTGAGTCATGGTGTGGGAACAATCAACTCATTTTGAATGTAAACAAAACAAAGGAGATTATTCTTGATGTCAGGAGAAACAATTAGATCAAACCCTGTTTCCATCATGGGAGATGATGTGGAGGTAGTTGAGGAATATAAATATCCTCAACTATTTGAGCCAGTGAAGCCTTTATAAGAAAGGACAGAGGAAACTGTACTTCTTGAGGAAGCTAAGATCCTTCAAGGTTTGCAGCAAGATGCTGCAGATCTTCAATCAGTTTGTTGTTTGTTGAGAGCATCATCTCTTCATCCATCATATTTTGGAGCAGCAGCATCAGAACCAGGAACCTAAAAAGGCTCAGCAGCCTGATGAAGAAGGCTGGTTCTATACTGGGGAAGATGATGCAAAAAAGGATTCTTCATAAAATCATGAAAATAATGAATAAATTATGAATAACCCTGACCATCCTCTCCATGAGACAAGAATGTCAGAGGCTTGCAGACCACAAGAGATCTTTCTTGCCAATATCCAGTGGCGCCTGTAGGATATTATTGGAGGGTAACACCATCACTGCATCTAACTCACAAGAGCACAACCAAACCTTAATGCACATCATGTGCGTTTTGCACAAAACCAGCACAAACCTAATCCACTCGAGAACAGGTCACAGATGTGGAACGCATGTGGGAGAAAGTTGCATGGAAGTTTAAAGCAGGATTGAGTTCTAGAACAATATGCCATCTATGAGCATACCACAGAGATCTTTTCAGCCCATCAACAGGCAGAGAGGATGGACCAACTGCAGTGGAGATCCATGGTAACTGGCAGAGGGAGATTTTGGGTCTTTCCTCTTCCCCGTTCTCTGCTCACCATCTGGGAATGGGGACCAGGAGGAGCAGGCCATCTGGTCCCCATTCCCAGTCTGGTTGTCTCCACATTGGGAGGAAGGAGACCTCCTCATGAGAGCTAGGGATGGTTGCCCCTCTGGGGTATCTACAACTGGGAGCATAGACTGTCAATGGGGAGGGCAAATGTGTGTGCAGCCTCCATTTTGTGGTGTATCCTTGGATCTTTGGTCTCTGGATCTTCAAACAAAATCAGCTTTTCAAGTGATCACATTTCAACAAAAGCATATCACTAACTTTTCAAATGTCTGTCACACTGAAGAGGAATAGAAGTGAGATGTGGAGTTTCAGAAAGAGCAGGAGATTTTACAGATGCCGGCCCAATTTCAAGGCGTTACATTACAAAGTCAAATTTCTTTTAAGTCATGTAGCATTTTTATATCAACTCAAGGTGGCACAGTTACTTGATTATACTATAAAATGGTACTATGTGCCTGAAAAACACATACCGCCCTTTTACTGAATACATTTACAGAGTGAAAATATGAAACATAAAAATAGTCTAACATTAAATATCAATGGAAGCAGTCTACTGTCGGATTTAGCAGCCCGGTTTAGATCACAGTCCCGTGTTGTAATCGCCTCATCATGACTAGCCTAGAAAATGAATGTACACAGATGCTTTGATACATCCATGTTTGTCTGACTGAGTTGTGCTTTTCTCCTCATGATAAACCTGCAGAGCCATGAATGGTGTGACTTCATTCATCAATGAATCCACAGGCCAAGACAAGAATAAGACCAATGGCTTATTGGAAAAACCACAACAACCTTTCCTAATACTGGTCTACAGTCTGCTGTTTCTGGTGAGGATCTTGTTTTCAGGTTGTACTGATACAATTTAAAGAGAAACCACTCAAAGTTTTAGTTTCATCAGCTACTCACAAGAGGATTTCCTCTGCAGGTGGGATTGAGCCTCAACAGCTTCACCTTGTGGTTTCACTGCCGTCTAACTCAAAGACAAGCGTCCAAGAGCTGGATGATCTACCTGAAACATCTGACAGCTGCTGATTTTCTGCTATGCATGAACATCCCGCTGCGCATCATTCACTATACCAACAGCTCGTTAACCTTTTACATACTCTTCTGTAGCTTGGGAGCCCCACTCTTGTTCTTGAACATGTATGCCAGCATCCTGTTCATGGGCTACATTGCAGCCAACAGGTACCGCACCTTAAATACCAGCCATTTTTACTACTGCAAAAAAAGCTTCAATCTGTCTACCACTAGCTTCATCCTTCTCCTGAGCAAGCATGTGGCAACAATATCCTTTTAAATTGCAAGAAACATCCAGCAGAGCCAGAAACACCCTCAGCATATCATCTGCCATGACATTATAAAGAATTGCATTCACTTTTCAAGATTTAATGTATTTCATTCTGCAGAAATTCAGGATGCTACAAGGTCCAACAAATCAAATGAATGGTTCCTGAATCCTTGTCCTTCTCCACAGGTACATGAAGATATTTTATTCCACGGGAACTCACTTCCTGATGACTGCCAAAGCCAGCCACATCATCTCGATGACCACCTGGGTTGTTCTCCTGACCATGACAACACCTTACACCATCATGGTGCTGATTAACCGCAAACCTCGTCCTTCTGAAAATTGTACCTGTGATTATCTGATCAGTGAACCTGTAAAACCACTGTACAGAGTGATTCATGCTTTTGCTGCCATCATCTTCCTGTCGGTACTCTTTTCTCTGGTTTTCTTCTACTACAGCGCCTCCCGCAGGGTGCTGCAGGTACAGCAGAGGCGGCTAGCCTCCTCCAACTCCAAGAAGCTTATAAAGTCTCGTAGGAACATGTTGGTATTGGTCAGTGTGTTCTGCTTTTGCTTTGTTCCTTATCACTTTGTTCGAATTCCATACGTCATACTTCAAGTTTCCGTAGTGTTGTTGTACCTGAAGGAAGTGGCCATCTTAATATCAGTTTCTAATATCTGTCTGGATCCGCTTATTTATGTCTTTCTTTGTAAGGAGTTCAGGGCTCAGTTTAACCTGAAACAAATATTCTGCAGAGAAAGCAACAGAAACACCTCCATTTTGGAGGAGGGAGACAGTGAAGATCACATGAAGACCATCAATAATTCCAAAGCCACCATGGGAGAGGTCCAGTCAGTGAGGGGAGAACTAGGACAGGAACCATCGGTCCAGGTTGTTTTATCAAACATGAGTAATCCTGACAAATATAAACCATAGCTGTATTACTGGATATTTTTTGAACAGGCTTATTAATTGAAAATCTGTATGCTTACATTTACATTCAACTTGTAACTGTTATACATGAATTTCCCCACTGCAAAATAAAGGATTAAGCTGTTCCATTTATGCTTAGTTCATCGGACATGCGAGAACATACAGTCATATGAAAAGGTTTGGGCACCCTATTAATATTAAGTGTTTTTATTTCTAAATATTTGGGCGTTTGCAACAGCTTTTTCAGTTTGATATATCCAATAACTGATTGGTACAGTAATATTTCAGTATTGAAATGAGGTTAATTGGACCAACAGAAAATGTGCAATATGCATTCAAACAAAATTTGATAGATGCAGTAATTTGGGTGCCCATATAATTTTATTGATTTGAATACCTTTAACTGCTTATCATTACTTTATTGAAACACAAAATTGGTTTGGTAACTTGATCAAGCTTTGAACTTCATAGCCAGGTGTATCCAATCATAAAAAGGTACTTAAGTTGGGCAAATGCAAGTTGATCTCCTATCTGAATCTCCTCTGAAGAGAGGCATCATGGGAAACTCAAAACAACTCAAATGATCTGAAAACAAAGATTGTTCAACATAGTTGTTTAGGGGGAGGATACAAAAAGTTGTCTCGGAGATTTAAACTGTCAGTTTCCACTGAGGAACATAGTAAGGAAAAGGAAGACCACAGGGACAGGTCTTGTTAAGCCCAGAAGTGGCAGGCCAAGAAAAATATCAGAGAGGAAAAGAAGAACGGTGAGAACAGTCAAGGAAAACTCACAGACCACCTCCAAAGACCTGCTGCATCATCCTCCTGCAGATGGTGTCCCTGTGCACTTTGCACAAGGAGAAGCTGTATGGGACAGTGATGCAGCAGAAGCCTTTTCTGCAAACACGCCACAAACCGAGCTGCTTGAAGTCTGCAAAAGCACATTTAGACAAGCCGGTTCCATTTTGGAATAAGGTCCTGTGGACTGATTAAACAAAAATTTATTTGTTTGGTCACAAAAAAGGCGCTATGCATGGCAGCAAAAAACACAGCGTTCCAAGAAAAACACTTGCTTCCCACCGTAAAATTTGGTGGAGGTCCCATCATGCTTTGGGCTGCGAGGCCAATGCCGGCACTGGGAATCTCGTTAAAGTTGAGGGTCGCATGGATTCCACTCAATAACAGAAGATTCTTGAGAATAATGTTGAAGAATCTGTTACGAAGTTGAAGCTACACCAGGGATGGACATTTCATCAAGACAATGATCCAAAACACCGCTCCAAATCTGTCATTCATGCAGAGGAACAAGCACAATGTTCTGCAATGGCCATCCCAGTCCGCAGACCTGAATATCATTTGAACATCTGGGATGATCTGAAGAGGCTGTCCATGCTCGGCGACCAGCAAACCCAACTGAAGTGGAAATGTTTTGTAAAGAGGAATGGTCAGAAATGCCTTCATCCAGGATCTCATTAAACGCTATAGGACGTGTCTAGAGGCTGTTATTTCTGCAAAAGGAGGATCTACTAAATATTAATGTGACTTTTCTTTTGAGGTGCCCATATTTTTGCACCTGTCAAATTTTGTTTTAATGCATATTGCACATTTTTTGTTAGTCCAATAAACATCATTGCAATACTGAAATATTACTGCATTACTGTAAATAAACTGAAATGGTTTTGCAAACACATAAATTTATAGAAATAAAATTAATTAGGATTAATAGGGGCGCCCAAGCTTTTTCACATGACTGTATAATGATAAGATGTGTACATTATAAAGGGGACCTGGTGGTACAGTGGCAGGGGCGCCGCCAGGAACCTTGGGGCCCATGACAAAAAATTAAATTGGGGACCTCCTGCACAACGACTGTTACAGCTTTAGTCAGTCTGCCCCACATAAACTGTCACAATTTTAAAGGCTTGCAACTGCCTTGCTTCCTTTGGTCCTATTCTGATACTAGCACAACATTTACTGATAGTGAATTTTACAAGCAACAGTCTGTGTACAATACAGCAAGCAGGTTGCTTAATTTTCTTATTAGTTTAATCTCATTGAAATGTGTCTTCCCACTTGCAACAGTCACAGACGACATGCAAAATACATAAAACCATCCAGACTCAAAAAATGCTATGTAGTTGCATTTTATTCAAGCTGCAGAATATAACTTTAATTAAAAAAACGATTTCTCCCTGTTTGTTAAAGTTGTCACCATGTTGTGACAGTTTGCTGTGAGACAGATAATCTGAAAAAAATCAATCTCCTCCACCTCCTCCCTGAACTACTATTGCAGCTAAGGAAATGCGCCGTTCTGACCAAAATCAACCAATCAGAACCAGGAGGAGGGTTTTAGTGCTGTCAATCAACCTCATACACTCCCTGCTAAATGAGCTAATGGTGGAGAAACAACTTATTGTTACAGGAAAACTGTTTATCTGCCGTCATCAGTGATGGCATAGTTACTTTGAAAAAGTAACTTTAATCGGATTACCGATTACTCCTTGAAAAAGTAACTTGGTTAGATTACTGACTACTTGATTTGGAAAGTGACTAAATTGGATTAAAAGTAACTTTTTTAGTTACTTCCTAACAACAACGCTGCGTCACCTGTGAGAATTACATTAAGCTTTGCCAATACTTAATTAAAAGTTATTTTATAATGGTAACATCAACAATGTGTGTCCACTTATATGGCTGAACTGAAGGGCAGATTGTTTAATGGTTACAACAGTGCAAAAAAAAACCTTTAGTAATTTGTGCATTTTGTGTGTTCCTGTATTGTCCGGAAAACTCTAAGAAGGATTTTAAAGCCCCCCTTCCTGCCCCCGACCTGCAGGTTCTGCATTACGGCCCTGCATTTGGTGTCAGAGCGCAGCGCTTCTACCATAACTCAGATGGCTGCTGCACAGATTTGTGACACTTATCTTAATATTAATAATATAATGGCGTTTAGATGCACAACTTTACGGACTCGTTCATTCGTGGCTGTTTTCACGTTGATTGCTGGTCATATTAGTATCGATGTTTGCAGCTTTCTAGATAGCTCGATGTAATTCGGAGGTAAAATATTAACTTGGCATTAAAGACACAGCGGGACGGATCATCCGGGAAATGATGGACAGGAAGAGCCTGACTGGAACTACCTTAATCACAGACAAATTCTGGGATTTCTTATGAGTCTCTGCTTATTTCCAAGCCCAAATGAGCAACTTCACGTTGAAAAACGAGCCCAAAATGGCGCAACTTGCAACTCATTAAATTTGCAAACGACTTAAAAAAAAAATGCACAAAGCCGCTTATAATAATCGGACTTGGCGACAGAAACTCAAAATAGTTCCTGTTTTTCCACCAACAAAATGCGTATTGTTTACATTTCTGCTGCTGACACTGTCACAGAGATGGTTTCCAAGATCTTTAATTTTAAGCACACCTTTGAGTATCTGATCATTACTTGCTGCAATAATAAGGTCATCAACCCAAATAATCAACATCTCTCTGTTTGTAAATAACCATAAGTGTTTTTCATTGCAGTGAATCTGAATGTTTCATTTTACCAGTAATTTATGAATTCTGATTAGAGCTGTATACTTTTAATTTTGCATTTTCTGCCTATTGCTGCAGTATAACAGTTTGTTTTCCCTCAAATACAGAAGTTAGTGACCCACAGTGGTTACAGCGGTTAATACAACAGCTAGTAGAGCAGTTCGTTTTCATGGAGCAAACAGCAAACAGCCCTCTCCACACAAAAGGTGTGTTGATTGTAAACGTATTTAATGTATATTTGTTTGTTAATATGTTTTGCAGAGACTTAAACATAAGAATGGGAACTGATTAGTTACAGACATCTTAGAGGTATTTCAGCTCTTACGGTGGTGATATGTGGATTACAATGCTGAAGGAATTAAATCTCATAAAAACCATCAGTAAAACTTCATCCTTGGTCGGAGCGGCAGGCTACACTCATTTTCATTACTGTAAACACAATAGTCAGCAGGGTTCTGCACAATAAGGAATTATCTGTTGACTGTTTCAGACCATTAAGTGACTTATTAAGCTTACAGACTAATTTCTTTCCTGTCTCAGTCACCACTTCAAATCCTTCAGGTTGTTTTAAAAATACCTCACAGTCGATAGGGGTGTGGACGTATGATGTTTTACATCCATCTGGTGCCACTAAAACAAGCACAGATGTCATATCAGCAGTCGGGGGGGAAAGTCTCATTATAGGCGATACCAGCAACCTGACTATAGCCTTTTGCTACGTCTCTAGCTTCAGAAAGTGTCTCAACTGGATTTTCTTTATTAGCAAATACCCATCTGCCCCCACTGTTTGTTTACCCAGGTAATGCTGTGAGTGTGTCAGTCTTATTCTCCATCAGAGTCCATTTCATGCTTCATAGCTGCAGCCCGTAGCTGATTGTGGTGAGCTCATAGCCTCTTCCAGTGTCTTTGGCACATCAGAAACGATCCTGCAGCAACAGTCAATGTTCATGTTTGCTTGATCATCCTCACATCTCATGTCATAGCCCTGATCCGTATAGGAGGTCTCCTTTCTCTCTTAGGATAACGTGCACCAACGTTACGTTCACTTTGAAGTTGCCATACGTCACGAGTCTCAATTTTAATCTTCTGTGAGATAATTGTTGTCAAATCTTGATTTGGTTGCTGACCTTCAGCTCTCTTTTGAGTACAATGTTTTCATTTATGTCTTCAGTTTGAGTGTCACATTCACTTTTTGCGGTAAACGTTACCAGCCTATTATTAAGTTCTCTGCCTGTCTGGACATGGGATAAGATATGCAGGACTATTTTTGTCGTAACCAACAAAAATTCCCTTATCATGTGGATCCATCATCTTGTCATATTTATATGCATAACATTCAAATCCGAGAGTTGTCAGGTTTCTTTCCAGTTAGCATGTAATATGGAGTCTGCTCAACACGTCTGATGTAACATCTATTACGGATAATAGCAGCCGTCTGAACTGCGCATGTCCATAAATCTTTAGGCAGATTACTCTCCATTAACATGCTGCTTCATCAACCTCATCTGTAACAGTATTTAAATAGAACAGTCTGTCATAAACAATGTCAAAAGCCGTACCATTTTTATAGATGACGGTTCTGTCCATCTTTGAAGACGACTGTCGCTCCTTGGGTAGTTGCAGCTTTAACTGAAAAGATGTCCTGGGAAAATGGCGGCACGTATAAGGTGTCCATCAAAATCATCTCCACAATTTGGTCATTGCTGTTTCTCAAGCAAACTCTGCGGTGTCTGGTCAGCGCGATGCCACTGGCCCTGACGCCGTCAGCCAACTCCAAAACATGACTGAGGTTTAATAGTTGAGGAAATTATTGAATTTTGCCGCATGTGGCTCTTCACCTTCACACCGTAGATCTGGGCGTCGTCCATCTGCTTGGTCCTCTGAAGAGACGTCAGCTCCGGCTTTTCTGCTGTCATCCGCAGCATCTCGAATGACAAGGGAAAGACTCTTATCGTCCAAGACTTAAATTAGTTCTGCATGCGCCTCTTCATTTTTAGTGGCGTCATCAGGTTCTCCTTTCAATAATATGGTGCTCTTCAGCTCAAACAGACATAAGTGGGACAAAAACTGTTTCCCAAAACTCAGTTTTTTCATCTCCATCAAAAAATAATCAGTCCCATCGGCTTCCAAACTCCTTTCTGGGCCCATAACCTGTTGATGCTGCCATCTTTAAAGGGCTGGAAATGCTGGTAAGTGATGGAGGAACAACAGTAGCCTTCAGCTACATTTGGCCTGAGTGCAGTGCTGACCAGAGTGACCTGTCGGCTTTTATTAGCAAATTGCACCCACCTGTGTAAATCTCCACCCACAACAGGAAGTCAGCAAGAACATCAACAATAAGACTCAACAGCTGCACACAGACAGCAAAACAAGGAAGCGCAACGGGTCAGTCGACGCGCGTCAGTCTACAGATGACTTTAGTTGTTATAATGAGCGTTTATTGGCCCAAGCAATTACTCTGAATCCACCTACTTCCTGCCACAAGAACATATAATGATAAGACTTATATATTATATAAGGGGGCTTGGTGGAAATACATTTATTTCCTGTTATTTAAATCAATAAGATGAAAGGAAACATGTGGCAGCTGAGAAGGCTTCTTCAGCTTTGGGATCGTCTTTTTAGTCAAGAGCTCAAACGTTTCCATTTTACTACATTTATTTTATGTAATTTGATGTTTTAGTGATTATTAATTTCATCCAAGACTATTGTGGAGCTGCTTTAACAGCTGAGTGGCTGAAATTTTTCACATCGATGGGACAGGAAGGGTGGCAAGAGGTGTAAGCAGGGTGGTAAGAGCCTTTGAGGACATTCATGATGTTGGTGGGGCCTGGAATGAAACTAAGTTTTGACACACAACACAAATTGTTGAACTGGCTAACTCCTTCAGTGACAGATTGTTGTATTCTAACTATACAAAGAAACGTTAAAGGAGATCTTTCCACCCAGCAGATGTCCGTCTATACCATCACAGCTCCCAACAAATTCAATAACTGCTGGTATTCCGTTATTTGCGGTTTTACTACCATATTTTCCAGACTATAAGGCACCTAAACCCTTAAATTTTCTCAAAAATCAGCAGTGCGCCTTATGTGTGCACTGAATTCCAAAGTCTGTCCCCAACACAGAGACTTAAAGTGTGCAGTACGTTCGCTGGCAGCGATAAACCAATCAGAGAATTGTTGTCCGAGTTCTGCAGCATAGCCTCAAGTAAAAACCAGGTAGGTTTTTCCACGCATCACCGTCCCTGTTCATCTGCGACTCCATGCGCGCCCATCTCACTGCTACTGGGAAAAAGGAAGTGAAGCAAACTAATTTTGAGTTTGCCGTCATTCCAGGAGGATTAACAGAAGAACTCCAACCGCTGGACATCGGTGTAAACAAGGTGTTCAAAGGGAAGCTGCGAGGGAGCGATGGATGACAGACTGAACACACGTTTACTAAAACAGGGAGGCAGCGCCGGGCGAGTTACGCCACCATGTGTGGATGGACTGTGGATGCCTGGGCTAATGCATCTGCAAAATCTGTTGTCTCAGCTTTCGCGAAAGCACCGGCATCAATGCTGAACAGCCACCTGGCAACATGACTGACCCGACAATGATGAGAGGGAACCTGGCATGTTTGATGGTGAAACATGCTGTTCAATTCAGACACAGAAGAGGAAAACTTTGATGGATTTGTGGAAGAAGAATAAAAAATAACGTGAGTGTAGTGTTGCATAGTCGAATAAAGTTCAACTAAACTTACTGTTTTGTTTCCGTTACCTTTTTTTTTTTGTTGACCGTATGTTTTAGCATGGGTTTTATAATCCGGTGCCCCTTGTAGTCTGGAAAATACGGTAATTTAAATAAAATCTTTGATGGTAAGACAAGCCGCTTTATTCATATATAACCTTTCAGCCAAAGGCAGCTCAAAGAGCTTATAGATACATTAAGATAAAGCATAAATCTATTTAAATAGATTTAAAATAAGCATCTGCACATCTTTAGTGGCACAATTTTTATGGTCCTTACTGAAAATGTGCAAACATATATATGCACATTTTGTACAATTTATGGCACTCAAAGGCCAAACTTATGAAGAACTGAGAATGTATGGCAAGACGAATGCATTGAAGAGTAACATCAGAAGTGTGTACTTCCGAACTTCTCATTATCTGGTGTCGTTCTTAAAGTGTGTGCTACTGTCAGGTACCTGGGACATGATATAACTGATGATCTGACTGATAAAGACGTTTACAGACAACAACGTTTAATGTATGCACAAGCCAACATGCTGGTACGCAAATTCAGGATGTGTTCTGAGTGAAAGTGGCTCTTTTTAAAGTATTGTGCGCTCTGCTGTATACTGCTCACTCATGGAGACAGTACAAGTAAAACAGTTTACAGAACTCAAAGTGGCTTACAATGATGGAGTGAGGAGTGATGCTGCTTGGGATGCCGAGACGGACTAGAGCTAAACCGTTTTTTGGTGGTGTTGGTGTCCCCATATTTCATGCTGTACTACAAAACCTTATGTGCAGATTTTCTTTTTTTCTCATATGGACCTAGTTGTGTCTTTAACAGAGAAAACTAGTTGAAAATGAACCAATGCAGATGCTGTCCATGCATCCATCCTTATTACCATGTGATTTCTTTGACAGTTGTGTTTTGCTGCTCATGATAAACCTTCAGAACCATGGATGCAACAACTTCATCCATCCATGAATCACATGACCATAATAGCACATGTGATTTAGATGTAAAATCATACCACTCTTTCCTAGTAGTGGTCTACAGTCTGCTGTTTCTGGTGAGTATCATGTTTTTGGGTTGCACCAATCCAAATTAGGCAAAGATTATTCAGATGATTGATGATTTTCTCTGCAGGTGGGCTTGAGCCTCAACAGCCTCACCTTGTGGTTTCACTGCTGTGGAGCTCATGGACACGCATCCAAGAGCTGGATGATCTACCTGAAACATCTGACAGCGGCTGACTTTCTGCTCTGCATCAGCCTCCCCATGCGCATTATTCACTACGCCAGCAGCTCATTCATCATCCACCTGCTCTACTGCAGCGTTGGAGCCCCACTCCTGTTCCTCAATATAGCTGCTAGCATCCTGTTCATGGGCTATATAGCAGCTAACAGGTATGTCACCTCAACTGCCAACCAGATTGTTAATTTAGACTATTGTTTAAAGCACAGGTCCCACATAATTTACAGCCAGGGTAATTAACTTGGATAGATGGATAAAAATGTGAATACATAAATTAGGATAATGCTAGCCTAAATGTTTCATTAGTATTGTGGCTACTTTAGCTTTAT